TCTTTCCCTGTCTCTGTTTCTTTCTGTGCATGGATCTCGCTGTCTTTTAATGGAAATACTTCAGTTCAAATAAAAATATTGGCAGGAAGCTTAGTCAAAATCAAAGAGTGAGAGAGACTGAATGTGCAGCATGCTTTCCAAGATATGACATTCCCACCACATTGTGTAGTCCAGCAATTTCAAGTGCCAGACCTTGCCTGATTGAGAGTAGTGATTTGAACTCGGGTCTGTCACATGTTTGGTGAGTAAGTACCTGACATCACAGGCCTGAGCTATTTTGGGATGCTCTTTTACTTGTACAGAGTCTCCTTCTGGTTTGTTTAGCATTTTTGAAGGGGTTGCTTTTGGTCAAATGTTGGGATGAAAACAAAATATTCAGTCAAAAAAATCTGCAAGATGTAATTCTTGTTTTCTAGCCAGCTGTCTTGTCAGTGATGGATGTACGTGTGTCTGGAAAACAGTGCAATCCAGCAGCCTTGATCAATGAAGTATCAAAATCAAAAAGAAATCCTAGCTGAGTGCAGTTAGTAATTGCAGTCCAATTAACTGCACCGGCATGAGGAAATTTCTATTCCCAATTAGATGCATTAGGGTCAGGGGCAGGTGGAGACAAGTGTTTGAGTGTGTAAGTGTGTTCATATATAAAACAAGAATGATAGGGAGAAGATGAAGAGAAACTTCCATCCTTGACAACATTTCTATATATGTTAAATAAAAAGGCAATGATTTCTGACATCTTTAGTACAGTGGTGATCTTGTTTGCCATGTTAGAAACTCCTCATCAAATTGAACTTTCATACTTATCCTTTCTGACATCTACTTTTCCATGATTTAAATGTACTTATAGCTATTACATTATGAAAAACTATGGTTAAAGTATATTTTAAAAGCATTGTAGTGAACATAGCCCCTGTGTTTACACAGCTAATATTTGGCAAGAAAGAACTGTGTCTACTGAATAAGAGGTTGAGAGCATTTACTGCCAAGATGTGCAGCAGTCCTTTAATAGACAGACTTTGTGCCCAATTCCTTTTCCTGAATGGTGGATTTAATAAGAAGAATTTAAACGTGGTATGTATAACTATGCTCCCAATTTGTATTGATCTGCATTTGTGTGAGAATCTTTAGAAAGTTGGAAAAATGAGGTGGTTTTCATTGTTGCAGGCGCTAATGAGTCACACGACCTGTTCAGTTAGAATGTGTTATCCCTCTGTATTGATTTTTCCATCCAGTAACTTTAACCACTTTTCACACAGTCAGGCCTATATTCACTTTGTATTTTATTCACATATCTAAAATCTCTGTGGAGATAACAGGCATATTTTTCATGTAATGCCATGAAGAATTTCCATTCCTAGTTACTGTATTCTGAAGGCACTGCAGAATAATTTAGATGGATGTCATCTAACTAATGCCATCTTTAAGTTTCAAATGATGTGTTCTTGTGAACCTAATCCTTCTGTTCCATAGTGATTTCATCCCCAATGTTCATTTTGAGTTTCAAACTAGAGAAGAAACTCAAATGCTCAAAACAGTGTTCAGGTAATAGTTTTTTATCTTTAAACATTGGGAGTTATAGAGCATCTCCATGTTTCATACTGTCCTGGAAAGAATGATAACTCGGGCAAAGTGCACTCAATACTTGGCCCATGTTGGCATAAAGCTCCGTGGGTGCATCCAGATGAGTGTGTACATGCCTCTTGCAGTGTCTCAACCTGCTTTGAGATACTGAAAGAGGTACATGCAAGAACAAAAAAACGAACTGCAAATTTGCAGCGCAGGGACAAAATTAGACCCCTAGATATCCAGGGGTCAAAAAATACTCTGGGGGAAAAAGTGGGGCAGGGCACAGTCCAGGACCATGCCCTGAGGCAGCCAGAGGCTTGGTCCTCCACAGAGATGCTCTGGTAGCCAGCCAGAGCATCTCTATGGCTGCCTCTCACCCCAATGCTGAAGGACGCTGCCTGCCCATGTGGGGCAGGCAGAGGTGCAGGCCGCTGGGATCTGCACCTGGCTTTGTGCTAGGTAAGTAGGGGGTAGGGAGGGCGGGAGATGGGGGGAAAGGGACCATGGGGGGGTGCCCGACCGTAGCCCCCATTTATTCCCCTGCCCCACACTTGCTCTCCCACCCGGCTCCAGCCCCAACACACACTGGCATTAGCAGCAGTGGCCAGGGGCCACTTGGGGCTTCGTGGCACAGCTCCCCTGTGTGGGGAGCAGTGGGGTTTGGCCCCAGCTGCCTGGCATCCCTGCTGCTGCATTGCATGGGTGCAGCCAGCTCAGCAGGGTGCTGCACACTGTCTCAGAGCCCCAACTGCTCAGGCTGAGTTGTGCTGAGCACCAGGTGACAGCTGTGGCACCCCTGAGCTTCCAGACAGTGTGTGGCACCCTGCCAAGCCTGGCCACACCCACACAATCTGGCAGCTGCAGTGCAGGTGCCAGGTGACCAGGGCCAAGCCCTGCTACCCCCCACTACTCCATTGGGGGGGGGGGGGGGGCTGTGCCATGAGGCCCCTAATGGCCCCAACTACTGCTGCTGGTAAGCTGTGGGCAATGTGGGAGGCTGGAGCTGGGTGGGGAAGTGATGGGGTGGAGAGCAGGAGCCAAGAGGGGGAGAAATCAGGAACCTGGAGCTGACTGGGGGTATCCGCTTCACTGCAGAGCATGGGTGGGAGTGAGCCCACCTGTCACCCACTGCCAGGCCAAAGCTCTTGACCCAGTTGACCCTGACAGAGGATTGAGGCACTTGTTGGTTTTGAATAGGGCCCACTTCAGACACGCCTAACGGGCAGTGTGCCTAATAGATAAGTTATAAGCAATCTGAAGTTGTTGACCTGTAGGACTTGACTGAAACCAACTGCAGTGAATTAACCAATTCTTAAAATATTTAGGAATACTTTGTAAATCCTTTGTAAAATCAGTATAAATGAAGCCTTGATCTAGGGTATTTTCAGGCAGTCTTTACACAACTCTGTTTTACATCTCCATTGTGCACAGTGTCTGCTTATGATAAAGGTGAGTCCCCAAGCTAAGTAACAAAATATGAAGACAGAAGTTTTCAAAAACTATTTCAGGTTCTCAGAACCCCTATGAATTTCCAGATTACTAGTAGTTCTGTGACACAGCTGTTGAGGGATGTGCTTATTGCTTCCAAAGAAGTTTGTCTTAGTCCATCCATTTTGAAAACACAGATATCTGAAATACTTAATTTTCTTTTACAGAGCCGGACAGATGTGTACATGTCAAAGTTTCCAGACTATACATCTGTAAAAAATATTCTTCACTGGGGTCAGGTAGAGTTCTATTAACCAGTGCTATTTTCAATTATACTATGATGTGGTTTGACATTCTGTCCCCTCACTTGATGTATCCAATCAGAATTCAATTTTGATCTTTTCTGGAGAAGTAGATTGTGCATAGTAAATGATGGGAATTAAATGACAAATGATTCCATCTGTTGCTAGGTCAACCTAATTATCAGGTGGTTTCTTGGGAAATGTCACCAGATAGATTGTCAGTTTCTCTGAAGGGGGTAATATTCTGTTCATAAAAGATGGTGTGGAAATTTTGCTCTAATTTTCTTTCCTTTTTTAGAACAAAAAAACAGGAGAATTCAAATACTTTGACTATGGCTGTAAGAACAAGGAGAAATACAACCAGGTAAGGAATATTGTTGACTGTTGACAAGGATGATGATGAAAAAACTGCCAAATGAATAACAGTTGGTTCATTGGCACAGTGGGGAGCAAGGTGGCACATGGCAGAGAACTGGAACTGCACATCTTTGGATCCTTGTGTTTTAATCAGCGTATTGTGTGTTCTTGTCACCCTTTGTAATTTCTTCTGAAACAAATGTTCCTGAAATATCTGTGAAGAATTTTTGTAAATCCTTATATTCTTTATACAGGAAAACTTCAGGATGGAATATCCTGTGCCAGATACAGCCATTGCCCTAGTTCTGGGGTGGATCTTAAAGAACTCTTACAAAAAGATTTATAAGAACAGATCCCAGTCCTGATGCATACTATCTGGGATATCTTTTTCTTGGTAAAGGGAAGATCCCTGTGTGACACACCACTGTTTTGCTTTGACAGTCATTTTGTATAAATGTTCATTATGCCAGTAGTCTTTGAAAAACTCTCCCACTTTTTCTACCAGACCACCCCTCCGTTCTACAAGGTGGAAGATATGACTGTGCCTACGGCGCTGTGGAGTGGTGGCCAGGACTGGGTTTGCCCCCGCGAGGACCTCTCCCTTCTTCTACCTCGAATTACCAATTTAGTTCACTACAAGAATTTTCCTGATTGGGACCACTGGGACTTCATTTGGGGATTGGATGCAGCTCAGTGCATGTATAGTGAAGTCCTTTATCTGATGGAGAGGTATCGGTGAAAGAGGTTTTCTGCTCTTAAATTAAGAATTCATTTTATTCCTATAATTTTTGTTTGTCTGGTTGTTTTTGTATTTGTTGGGAGTTGTGGTTTCCAGGCTACATTTTTCAGGAACCACTTGGCAATAGAGCAATGAACTTTCTGAAGGCAAGTCTTGCATTCAAGTGTCTTGCATCGCCTGGACTCCTTCCATTAAACAGAGATCTATGGAGTGCGCAGGTCTAGGTTGCATATGTACCTTTTATCACCTAATCCTCAGCACCTTACAACATGTGATTTGTGCTCCTGCTGCTGCAACTGACAAATCCTTCATTTTGCCCATGCAAGGTATATTTGTGCTGTGCTCTGTTAAAGTGATACATGCATAAATGGCTCCAGCATTTAGTGCTACTGATTGAAGCAACTATTGCTCAGCTGTCCTTAGTGTGTATGAAATGCGTTCCTTCTGGGAAGAAGCAATGTGCCTGAGATACTAGGCTAAATAATTATTTGTGTTTGTGGAACATATTCAGTAATTGCACCAGAAACAATTTAGGAGATAATTGGAGAGAACAGACATCTTCCATAACCAAAGCTGCTAAAAAGGCAAGTCCTGGCCAGACTTCTTGGTTTGTGAATGACCCTCCTGGCTGCAGTGTTCATGGGATATTTGTACCATGTATGTTCAACATGGCTGAATACTTGATGGACAGACTGTAGCTGTGACAGCATCATGTGTCATCAGCATTTAGGGACTTTTTCCTATTGGCACAATAGTTTTCTTGTCAATCGGGCCAGGGAACGTCAACTTTGAACACTAGCCTGCTCAGAAACTGACCACTGTGGACTGAGATTTAGAACCTAGCATTTCCCTAGCATGTGAGCAAAAAGGAGGTTGAAGGATCTGCTGACAGGGATAGTTCTTTAAGTAATGGATGGGGCATTCCCCTACCCTTGTACATGGGAGCCTTCCCAAAGTCAAGGAAGGTGGAAGCCCAGGAGCAGTTTTGAAACAAACGTCATGGGAATTTTGTTGAGAAGCTTGCTGTTTTCCCAAGATCTGAACTCATAATGTGCCCAATAGGGTCAAAGTCTGTGGGTTTAACAATGACTTCACAAAACCTGTGTTCATTCCTTGTGCCATGTTGTGGGGAGAAGGGGTGGTTACCATTCTTCTGCATTATAGTGAGTATATCGAATTTCTTAGGAATTTGCTGTGGATCTGAATGCTCAAACACATTATCTTGCTTTCCTATATGTTGACCTCTAGTCCATGACCAACAGTTCTTTGTTGATAATAGACTCTATTAAAAGTGTAAAGCTTCTATGGATACTTTGGTTGTCATTAAAGGAAAATGACCTGTGCATCATGTGTTATCAGTTTATATCCTAGCTCTTTTGCTCAGCCTGTTTGGTACAAATCATTTATTAACTTTCCTCTTGTGAGTCAAAGTCCACACTATCATTGTCCTCATTTATCTGGATCTTAGTATACCTACATTGTTATTACATAAGTAAACTTCGATTTAAATGTTCTTTTCCAGTTACAGCTCAGCATATTTAGCAGCATTCACAAGGGTTTTGGTGGCTACACCTAACTGAGATGCCTTTACACAAATAGAACAAAGATTAAGATAAGCAAAGGTGAGATTAATTAAAAAAAATGCTTAATCCACATCTTTTGTTACCTAAGATCACATATAGGTAGCTAAAATTCAGAAGTTGGTATAATTTATTCCTAACAGAATGTAGTGAGGGTGAGGGCATCTCCCTGCTGCTGTGTGCACTTTGGGGAGGGGGCATGAGGGGCATGTGCCCCCCCAGATCTGTGCATGGTGCAGGTGTGGGTTGCCCGCTGAGGGCTCAGACTTCCCAACCTGTTGCCTTCCCCCAGGGTCTCTGTGGCTCAGCAGGCAGGACCCAGTGTGGCAGAGCAGAGTGGTCCCAGGGTGGAAGTTCCTTGCCACTGCAAGCCTTGCACCACCCTGGTGAGGTGCCCCTTGCCCACCTGACAGTAGTTGGGGTGGAAGAATGGAGTTGTGCCCCTCACTGCTGATAAGCAGACAGGGGGTGCCTCACCAGGGTGGCATGGGGCTTGCAGTGGCAATGAGCTTCTTCTCCCAGCTCTGCTCTGTCCTGCTGCATTAGGTCCCATCTGCTGGACTGTGGAGGCCCCAGGGGAAGGCAGCAGAGCAGGGAGCCAGAGCCTGTAGTAGGCAATTCCGTCCGTATTGCCTGTGGGGGAGGGAAGGCCAGGATCCACACTCTGCTTCCTGCTCTGGTGGCAGCTGGGTTTGGGCACTGCTGCAGAGGGTAGGGGGCTGTGGACCTGTGTCCCTGGCCCTGTAGCCTTGGCAGCTGGGGGCCCCATCCAGTAGGGCTGGGGGGGCCAGGGGGCTGTGGTTGAGGAGCAATGGGCACCAGCAGGGCTGGGGGATGGGGGGTGAAGTGATGGGGCCTGGACCTGGGTCCTGGTGAGCGAAGGGGGCAGTGGGAGGTCTGACTTTTCCATGATAAGACTCCCCAAATCAAATGCCAAAATATATAGGTATTTAGAAATTATTTTATTATAGTGATGAGGCACTTGTAGGTTTCCAAATTGCTTTAAAATTGTAAGTATATCAGTAAAATATTGTGTTCAACTGATATACATTGTAGCATTTCATTTTAATCACAGATTTTGGGAGGTTTATCAGATTATTTGTCATTTTTTAAATCAAAGAATTTGTGGGGGGTTTTATCAGAGACTTTGCAGTTTTTTTAATCGGCGAAAACTAGGATCCCCAGTGATAATACACACATGGGGTCAAAGGGCCTTGTTACACATTTCACTCTTAAACTGCTTTTACTGTTTATCAGAATTAGCTGGAGTTTGGAGTAGTCGCTCTTTAAGGCTAAAAACCTTCTCTGACTTTCCCCAACCTGCAGAGCTGTGACTTGCCACTGGAGGGCTGGTGAACAGGGGCCTGACTAGGAGCTATATCTGTGAGTTGCCACTACAGGGCTGGTGCGCCAGAACAGGTTTCTGTACTTTTCCCTAGGTGGGGTGGGGGTGAGAGATGAGTTTATGGGGGGCAGGAACATGGAGCTGGGCAGTAGTGAGTTAATAAATTGGGGATGGGTAATGAGATGGGAGGTATAAAGGAAATGAGGGTGAAGGAAGGTTAGTGAAATGAAGCAAGTCAGTCATTGAAGGATAAAATACATTGAAATAAAAAAAAAGAAAGAGGAAGTAAATTAAAGAAGTCCTCATGTTTTAATACCTTGGGATTTGGGTTGGGTATGTGGAGTGCTGGTCATGCTTCCTAGGGTGGCTGGGAGGTGGGAGCAGTGAGGGAAGGTACTTTTGAGGGAGCTACTGCCCCAACCTTGGGAAGGAAGGCCCAGCTCACAGGGAGCTGATCCAGACCCCTTACTCGTTCCCCTCCTAATACCCCACCCAGACCCCACTCCGAGACCTGTCAGTGTCCTGTGACCTGGCTAGCTGGCATATGTGCTGCAAACTGTTTGCATGGGTTTGCATACCTGGGGGTAGGAAGCTCATACCCTCAGGGGCAGGAAGGGGAGTTGGCTTGTTGCCAGCACCACCCTCCTGTGGGCAGTAGAGTTCAAGTGGTGGAAAGTTTGTCCACACAAAAGTGTGTGGAGATGGGGACACTGCATCCTGGGATGCTGGAGAACTGCAACTTGGGTGGCTCATCTTTGGGTAGTGGTGACACATTAATGGAACATGACTCGGGTAACATGGATCAGAGACTAATCTTCCCACAAGTGGTATAACTTTAAGCTGCCTAAGGTGTAGTTAAAACTATTTTCAGGTGTTAATATGTGGACAATCCAGGGGTTAAGAGCTCCAGGAACCACCAAAAATTGTGCAAGTAGGACCCAAAAGAACAAGGTAATATTTCAAATGTGTTTAGTTTAGTCCATTTTAAATGAGTCCATGCTCTTTCCCACAACCCCACCCAGAAAAGAGTGCTGTGCGCTCCCACCTAGAATGTTGATCTAACAGTTGACACAGAACTGGCTGAGCCAATGCACGGATACATGCAGGTCTTTTTTGTACCCTTTGATTCTTTATTCTGTGATTATGACTTTCTGAAAGAGGAGTGTGTGCTTGGTGCTGAGGTGAGAGGGGCTTGCTTTCTGATGTAACTTACTGCCTTACTTTCTGAGAGAGAGGAAAGAGTTCCTGCAAAAACCACACATTACTACATGCTCTGGTTTTAGATTAGGCCAGATCTGTACTTTATGGAAAACCAATTATACTTTAAATAGAGCGGAACTGAAGAGGGAGGGGAAAGGAGTAGTGTGGGGGGGGGAGGGGGAAGTTGCCAGCCTGCAGCCCTACCTGATTCCCAAATTACCCTCCAAACTCCAAATCGCCACTTCCACTTCAGACTGCTCCCCTCCAACCCCAATTGTCCCCTCTGCCCCCCGTTCGTCCCTCCACTGCCATATGAATGTTCTGCCACCATAATCAGCCCAACAGTGGCAGGTGCTGGTTCCTGCTCCTTTCTTTGTCTTGAAACAATTGACTTTTGACATGCGTAGGACTTTTGTTCTCAGTTTTGAATGCCAGTTTAGTGTTGTTTCAGGATTGTTTTTAAGCAGCTCCTGCATCTTGTCCATGGCCTGCCAGGACAGCAGCTGCTGGAGCATAGTTCTCTCAGGATTTCCCCAGGGAGCCAGTTATTAGACATTCTAAGTACATGGCCAGGTCTTCTGAGTTGGGCCCCTAACTGAAAGTATAGAGTAAGGGAGTTAAGTCTACCACATTCTAGACTTCCAGTATTGTCTGCTAATGTATGATTTCCATGTCACAAAGACAGTCAAGCCATGTTGCAAAGACTACCTTAGCTTTGGTAATTGTGTTGGACTAAAGTTTATGTGAAAGAGTGCTATCATGGAGGTTCGGTTCTCTATAGCTTGAAGCACTTGCTCTCTTTTGGTGGCAACTGGGAGAAATAGAGCTTACCAGGAGCAAGCCTGTATATAATGCGTGCATCTACAAGGAGTGCT